CAGAGGGGCAGAGGGGCAGAGGGGCAGAGGGGCAGAGGGGCAGAGGGCAGGGCTGCACTCTCACTCTTCTTTAACATATCTGGAAGCTGTGCATGACTCAGCTGGGACGAGAGCTGTCCTGTGAAGGTCTCAAGACTCACTCTCTGCCCATGGTATCTACGCCCCCAGGAGCTTGCCTCTGGCCTCTGTCTCGTGTGGAACCAGGGAAAACAGGAGTGTCCTGGGCAAGCTGACAGTGAGTGACTGGTGAGTACAAGCACTTTCACTGTTGGTGATTGACCCAGCTGCTGCTAAAGTGCAGTCACTCGCCAAGGCACACACTGCTGTCTGCGGCTCCTCCAGGCTTGGGTGCAACCGCTCAGCTCTGAAGGAGTCAGCAGCCTGACTGAAGAGCTTACCCACTGACCACTGCCCCTGGGCTGCCTCTCCTCCCTACCTGGTTAAGATTACTCAAGAAGGTTCTTTCTGGCCATCAGGTGATACACTCAGTCAGAAAGCAGCCAGGCAGTCACTCAGGCCATGGTTCAGGACAAGCTAACAAAAACCTGGACCAGGCCAGTCACCTTGAGAAGGAGCCCCATTCTGAGATGCCAGCTCTGTCCAGCACTTAACAGGTAGGATGAAGGTGGCTCCTTCACCCAGCACCAAGCGTTTGTTGTACAGTGGCCATCATCTAAACTAGAAGAGCTGTAACTACTTGTAAGAGAACCCTGAAAGCGAGCCTGCTGGCTGGTGACCATCCCTGTGCTGGCTGTTTTTATAAACTTTCTATAACCTAGATACATCTGAGAACTCTTGAGACAATGCCTCCATCAGATTATCCTGTAGGCAGCTCTGTTGGGGGCATTTTCTAAATTAGTAACTGATATGGGGGAGCAGCTCACTGTGGGTGGTGGGCAGGTGGTTCTGAGCTGTATAAGGAGATTGAGCAAGCCATGGGGAGCAAGCCAGTAAAGCAGCAACTCCTCCATGGCCTCTGCTTCAGCTCCTGCCTCCAGGTTCCTGCCCTGCTTGAGTTCCTGCCTGATTTCTCTCAGTGATGGAATGTTATCTGGAAATGTAAGCAGAAATAAACCATTTCCATGTTGCTTTTGGTCATGGTATTTTTATCACAGAAATAGAAACCCTATCTAAAACAGTCCCCTATAGGAGGGCAGGGTTGGGAAGGTCGCTGGCTAGTCACCTACAACTCCCAAACACTGTATGTAATTCTGCCCTAATCTCATGTAGCCTAGGAGGTGCCAGGATCTATGAAGTATGGAAAGTTTACTTAAAAGGACTACTCCATCAATGCAGCTATGAAGGTCATCAGCCCCTTTGGCTGAGACTTCCTGGCAACAGAGCTACTTCGGGGGTCCCCATACTCTGGTGCCCCACTGGACTTCAGTGGAATATAGGTGGGTTTGTCCTTGGTGCCCTTCCTAGTGGGACCTTACTGGAACTGGCCCTCTTTGGGCTTACCAAAGTGGCAGGCAGAATGACTGTCACAGGTGGATGTGGCAAGGTAAGGCTTGTGGAGAGGACTGTCCCAACATAGCTCTCCAGTACCAAGTGAGGGCTGAGCCTACCTCCCTGTACACTGACACCTGGGAAACTGGAGCCTTCCCACCCAACCCTCTCTTACCCAGACTTTTACAGCCACCTCCACTGTGGCCCCATCCTTACCAGATGTGTGCCAGAAGGTTCTGTGTGAGGCCCGAGTGCATGAAGATCTCTTTCACTTCCTGGCCACTCACATAGCCATCAAGGTCTAGGTCTGTCTTTAAGAAGATCTCATCAAAGCGCATCTTATCTGCCGCAGGCACCACCCAAGCCACTGGCAGCTGAAAGAGGTTATAACAGTAACTTGAGAACCCTGTTCCAGCCCTTGGCCCTGCTCTACAGAGATCTCACAGAGAGTGTCAGGTCCATGCAGCTTGGGTCCCAGAACCTTGGCTATGGGCAACAAGGCAATAAAGAAAGAACAGACGCATAGACATACATACAGTGAAGTTTGCGTCAGTTGGGTTTCTCTGCTGCTACCATAACTGCTACCTGTAAACCCAGAACCACAGCATGGGGTAGAGGGTGAGCTAGACAGTATCAGGCTAGAAACATCCAGGAAGAAACTGCAGCTGATAGTCTCTGCATTTTAGTAATATTATCGCTTAGTTCTGATGGGGCTGAGGCAGAAAGAATACAGGAGTTTGTGGCCAGCTGTGAGACCCAGTCTTAGTGGGCACAGACCACATTTATCTGCTAGTGCCTGCTCTGTGCTGCACAGCCATGTCCTATGAAGCCTCTTTGGGCCCGACAGGCATGTCAGCATATGCCAGCTATCGAAAACCCTTGTGAACACCCAAAACCCTGAATCCCTTCAACAAGGATGTAAGCACTGGAGGGCACTGGCACCCTCAGGGTCCTGGAGCCCAGGCCCCACAGACACCAGGGAACAATTTCACTTATCTGAAAGAAAGCTCATTCTGAATCCTTATAATTTTAAGATTCTTTCTTGCTTTATTTACTTACTTGCTTACTTACCACTACTACTTATTTAATGTGTATTGGTGTTTTCCCTGCATATATCCATGTACCACATGCACAAGTACAGACTGCTGTCAGCTGCCATGTGGTGCTGGGAATTGAGCCTGGGTCCTCTGGAAGAGCAGTCAGTGCTCTTACTCACTAAGTCATCCCTCCAGCCCCGTACCTCTAGTAAATTTTTTAAAGAATTTGATCAGAGCTTTCTCTTTTTTGCTGTTGAGAAATGGTGCAGTAGGTGCTTTGGGCACTGACCTGAGTCTGCTTGACACTGTGCTTTGGAGACAGGCTCCCTGTGCTGTTGAGGCTGCTGACGCTGCCGTGGGATGGTGTGGAGCGGAGGCTGTCCTTGGGTGGGGGACTGGCAGGCAGCACAGGCACAGCGCCTGCAAATACCGTCTTCTTTCTCTTAGAAGGTGGGATAAGGGACGGGGGCAGAACGGAGGGCACTGGCTCCTTCTCCAGGGCGCGATACACCAAGTGCATAGCCTGTGATGCCAAGGAGAAGAAACATGCACTGAGGGAGTCAGGGGCCACAGAACACAACAAAAGTCTCATGCAGTAGTGGGAGCCATGGAGACTCCAAGAGGCTATGAGGAAGCTGCTAAGCTTGTCTTAGGCCTCAGCTTCCTCTGCAGCTTCAAAATGTATTCAATTTAGGCAAGTGAAGTGAGCACAGGAGACAGCCAGCTAGTCAAACTACAAGCCACTTTCTGAGGGTTCCTTTCTAAGAGTTGAGTTATCTCTGCTCTGAAAATATCAGGTAGGAAATTCCAGAAACAAAGACCACACTCTCTTTGTTTTTTTTTTTTTTTTTTCAAGACAGGGTTTCTCTGTGTATAACTTTGGCTGTCCTGGAACTCACTCTGTAGACCAGGATGGCCTTGAACTCACAGAGAACAGATGCCTATGCCTCCCCAGTGCTGGGATTAAAGGAGTGTACCACCACCAACCAGCCAAAGATCACATTCTATTATAGCACACTGCCATGACTGTTTGAAATAGGAGTCTCAGATTTCCCATAATGGCCTCATACTCACTAAATGGTTGGACTCCTGCTCTTCCTGCTGTGTCCACCATGTGCTGAGATTATGGGCATGCAACAGCATACTAACTCATGTGGCACAGGGTGACCCAGGGTTCTGTGCAGCTAGGCAAATACTCTCCTCACTGCAGCTCCAGCCTTTGCTGTAATTATTCACTGCAGTCACTATTAGTCACCTGCCAATCAAAACTCTATACAGTGAAGAGCACATGTATGTAACAGCTTTGGCTGAGTCTCCAGACACTTGCACAGCCCTTCAGCAGTATGACCACCAGCCCCAGGGTTGATTTAGAACTGATTTCCACAGTTCTAAAGCCTGGAGGTGCACGGACCATGAGAGGAGCTTCTATTTCAAAATACATGAGGAGACACAGAGTGTGACCCCAGAGAGTCAGTGCCAGACAACAGGCGACTATTGCACTGCAGGCAGAGGGGGACACTTTCTTTCTTTTCTTTTTTTCTTTCGGGTGTGTGTGTGTGTGTGTGTGTGTGTGTGTGTGTGTGTGCGCGTGTGTGTCACGGTTTCTCTGTGTAGCCTTGGCTGTCATGGTACTCACTCTGTAGACCAAGCTGGCCTCAAACTCACAGAAATCTGCCTGCCCCTGCCTCCCTAAGTGCTGGGATCACAGGTGTGCACCACCACTGCCTGGCAAGAGACACTTTCTAACTCATGTCTACAGATTTATTTATTCTGAGGCAAGGTCTTGATACGATGTCAGGATGGACCTGAATCCCAATACTCCTGCCTCAGACTTCTGAGTACTAGGATGATAAGCATGCATTGGAAGAAAAAAAAAAAAAAAAAACCCCACAGATTTTGAAGGTTTATTTTTATA